ATATATTATTTTTAAAAATTTTTAAATATTACATTGTATGGATCGGTTAAATTTGAAGTTATGTCTTGATTGTGAATGTTGGTTTTAAGACTAGTCTCGTGGAATTATAATAATTTGTGTTGTAAGTTTCTTTTATAAGATTATCTTAAGTATGATTTGATATTTTTCAATGCTTTAAAGCATAAGTTTCACATGTTTTCAATTATTTATAATTTTTAATATAAACTATCATATGAGTTAATAGCTGACTCAATAGTTTAACCTTTAACCCAATAATCTAGTATCCCAACCGACTTTCTTACTAGGTCAAATCTAATAACATTAATTCAACTCATGATTTCATGTTAGTTTCTAAATGATAAATATATTTTTTCTTTTATACTTTTTATATCAAGTATATATGAGTGTTGTACATATAATTAGGTAAACATTTCCTAGTGGATTGTAAATTTTTTAATTGATGCCAAATTTTATTTCCATTTCGAGATGTGTTATATCATTTGCAAAATTTTGCAAGTCATGATAACAATCTTAAAAATGAAAATGAACTTTTCAGTCTCCGTTATGCATATTTAATGAATGTGATCAAAAGTATATTTAGTATTGTTCCGGTATGCTTAAAAAAGTCCCACATCGCTTAGGAGTCGAGGCTAAGGGTAGTTTATAAACACTCTTCCTCCTTAACCTACTGAGACGCCTTTTAAAAAGACAAAACCGTGACGGCCCAACGAGTACCAAAGCGGATAATATCTCGGATGCAGTGGCCCTAACAATGACAGCAAACTTACGGTAGGAACATTTGGTGTTAGAAGGAGGGCCTAGGCCACTCATGCCCCTTAGCATCGACTGGGGGGCTTGTCCCGGTATGCCTAAAAAAGTCCCACATCGCTTAGGAGTCGAGGCTAAGGGTTAGTTTATAAACACTCTTCCTCCTTAATCTACCGAGATACCTTTTAAAGGACAACGGTCCAACAAACCAAAACGGACAATACCTCAGATGCGATGACCCTAATGATGACAGCAAACTTACGGTAGGAACAAGTATTTATATAACCTTTCACAATTTATAAGTGAGTGTTTTCAATTCTATTTAAAACACGAGATGAATTGTGTTTATATGTATAGTATTGCATAATTTCCTTTACAAAATGAATGTCTCTTCGATGAATTTTCTATTGAACTAGTAAACTAATCTACATCTTTAATATTATATGTTAATAAATACTATAATTTTAAAAATATTATTCAAATTCAAATTAAAGAGTATGGATGAAAAAATGTCAATCCACGTACGTCTCCATAAACAATCCATTAACCTTTTAATTCGGGCGATAAAAGTTAGTTAGGCAATCACAAACTAAGGAAAAAGAAAATGAGGAAAAGCATGTAACGAATCAATTTGAATAATTAATTGAAAAAAAAAAAAAGAACTCAGGACTACAATAAATTGAAGAATTAAAAAAGCTACATTTTACACCCTTTATTCTATAAATCAAACTGTTATTACAAAATATTATTTATATTAAATATTATAAAATTGAATAATAAAAATAAATAAATAACTATAAACTATATTTTATATATTTTTTAAAAAATAAAATTAGTGATGAAATAATTTATATCTAACTTTAAAAAAAAAAAAAACTTGTCATTAAATTAAGTTATTCCAGAATTACTGAAAGAAATTACTGATTCGTTAATTTTTAAACTAGTATATTACGTTTTGGTTAAAAAAAATAGTAGTATATTACGTTAATTTAAATGTACATGAATTGGGTATTAAATAAATATGAATTAATTTAAAATGTGATTTATATGAAAGAAATTTTTAATTTAATAATGCTGAGTTTTGAGATAAAATTATATAATTAACAATTATTAAATAATGTAAAACTATTACAAAATTTATTCTAATGAAACTATTACACAAGTTTAGTTTTGTCAATTGTGTCATAACTTCAACTTTACTTCTCTTTATTAGTTTTAATTTAATCTTAGAAAAAGCTTGAGTTAATTTCATTGAAAAGTAATTACTTAAAAGGAAAATAGTGAATATAATTAAAGACGTCGTAAGTATATATACCCTCTATTATTGAATTTGTTGTGACCTTCAAGCACGTTATGCATTCTATTGTATGAATATATAAACTCCTGCAATTGGAAGGATTACAAATAGCTAAACTAAAAAAATCTATATTATTAATTTGAAGTACATTTACCACGGTATAATGCATCTTAAACCCTAAGTATATTTATCATACTATTTTTTTTTAACAATATTATCTAATCATAAATTAAAAATATATAATAAAATTCCTAATTTTGTAATAATTACCTTAAAAATTATATGTAAAATTTTTCTTATTAATCGACGATATAAAAAGCAATATATGAAACTAAACTTTATTTAGTATCGTATAAACACATTTAGATTTTGAATGTACATTCTATTTTTATTTTTTTTTTAGTTCTTGTAATTTTTTTAAAATAATCTTTATGATTTTTTTTATTTTAGTCCTTGTTTTTATTTTAGTATTTATAATATTTTTTCCTTTTAGTATGTATAATATTTCATTGTTTTTGAGTTAGTCCTTTAAAAAATATAAGAAATAAAAGAAACATTACAAAGAAAAAAAGAAAATTTTTGAGTATAATACAAAGATTAAAACAAAATAATAAAGATCAAAGTTAAAAAGAGAAATTTTACGAGACTATTTTAAAATCATAATTTTCTAAGGGCGAAAATCGAAATGTTATGAAAAATATAAATAAAAACAAAAACAATTTAAACAAATTTGAAAAATAAGAAGAAAAAAATTAAAAATGTTATAATCACAGCTTCTATACCACGAGGGTCAGTTAGTGGTGAAGAATTAAAATAGATGAATAAAGATTTATATTCTATTCTCATTCTTATCGTTATAATTTTTTCTAATAATTAAAAAAAAAAAAAAAAAAAAAACACACACGCACGCACACAGTTTATTTTAGCTTTATACAGATTCCTTGACGTTCATGCATCACAATGAAGCAAAGGCCAAGTTTTAGCAATATTTGAAGACAACTAAGAAAATTAAATACATAATGTCTCCCCACACGAAAATAATTGTAAGATTCAATTGCATTTTCTCCAGAAATTTTTCTTTATAGAAGGGGTAACGTAAATTAGAAGGTCAAAATACAAAATAGAATCATGTGATATGCAGTGCAGAAGAGACTCTTTTTCCTCTTTTTTTCTCTTCTTAAAACTTGGCAATTTTGAAGAGAAAAATGTCTCGTTAATTAAAGTAGGAACGATTAAGTTAAGGGAAACAAATAAATTAGGATGAAGTAAAACCTAAATGAAGTCTTTGAAGTGCAACCAACGAGCAAGAAGCACAAATGTATCGCGCACAACCATAAGAGAAGACCACTTTTCCTTATTGAAATCATATTTTTCTTCATATGCAATACTCCAACAAAATAAGAAGCTTCACCTTAAACAATTCTACTTGTTAAAGAGCACTATATAAAGGGTTGGACTAACGTCAAATATATCGTGAGAGATACATTAAGATGAACTCTATCTAACTTTTTTTATAACAGAAATATTTAGATTAGGGGACTCTTCAAATCAAAAACATTATTCAAATTTCAAATTCACTGAGATAATTGAATAATACTTATTATCTTACCATATGTCTTATCCAAATATATATATATCAAAAATTGTGAAGATAATCAAAGTAAAGTAATATATTCAATTGCTAGTAGATTAAAAAACGTTGTTTAATAGTTTATAAGATGTGAAATTATAGAGAAATTAGATAATCACATTTTTAAATGCAAACTGTATGTCTAGCGCGGATAAGGATACTAATTTTTAGTTTTTCTTACAAGAGGCAATTAACTGAATTAAGGGGGAATGCAAAAAACAAAATAAAGTTGTTAAATTATTGGATTTTATAATATCTAATAGTATGTATATATACAGTAAATAACCCTCGAACATTAATGATCTTAAATTGAAAAAGTGGCTCCTAAAGCAACAATATAGGCAGCAAACTCAACAAAATCCTCAAAGCCAGCCAAAACTATGACAAAACAAATAAAGGAAGTCATAGCATAAGGCTAGGCTGGCCCTAGCAGGACTCTAAATCAGCTATGATTCACTAACAGGGAAAGAATAACCAGATAAACTAGTGATGAATTCCTATCACAATCTGCACGAACTGCCTTTCATGATCCATAACATAACCATACATAGGACAAGGACATTTATAGTCTGGTAGTTCACCCAAGTCTAATAACTGAAAGGACAAGATCTTCATGCATAAATCTGTAACATCAAGTTCATCGAGATTCCCAGTCCTTCAATTTTCTGCTTCCTTTAGGTTTTGCTATAGGTGCATTCATAGCGGCCATTCTGTCATTATACTTTGCACGAAGTGGATCGTTGTAGGTCCACCTGTAATACAATTCAATAGTAACAAGAACATCAGAGCAAAATATTACAGCAGTGAATGTATACGTATAAAATGGTCCTAGCAGTAGTACTAAAGAAACTCTTTTTTCCAGGAGAAGGGGAGGTCTGGAGGTTAGTCGCAAGTTAAGAAAAATAAATTCCAATCATCAATGCATTAACAAATCCCAAATTCTTGTCAAAGGAGATAGATCAGACACAAGTAAGATCCAGAAAGCCGATGCAGAAATTTCTTTGACAATGCAGCAAATATTACCTAAACATACTTAAGCCCATTATTCCACAGATGATTATCAATATGTAATGACATGACCGCAAGCCTATCAACCTAGACTCCTAGAATGACAATGCATGATAAAATTCTTGTGGGATAAAAAAAATTGTCCAGTCCTTTTGTTTGTATAAAATCAAAGTGTGGTAGAATCAGTTTAACAAGATACATCAACATCCAAAACATAGAGTCAGCATTGTGTAGATAATAGAAGTACCATTTCAGATGGTCTCAAGACAGAATATACCTTCATCTAGAAATTAATATAGAATCAAAACTTTTAAATGTTATGTTATACTCTCCTAACTTCACAAATTACAAGCAAGCAAATGACATAAGTGAAATCCAAAACTACAATGAAAACAGATAAGCATAACTCATGAGCATGCACTTGTGTCAAGATCTCACTAAACCATATCAAAACCAAACATGCACTTTTATACCCACACCACTCCATTTCTTAGAGCAACAGAAAGTATTGGGTTAAATCTTCCAAGTAGAACTTAACTCTTGACTGTTTCTACTAACATTATCCTAAAGTACAACGACATCAACTCTTAGTGTTGAGAAATTCTATCAGACTAAAATCACTCATGTCTTCAGATAAGCTAATGCAATAGCTAGCTCCCTTCCAAGAGCAACATTGATGTGAGATCCAATTGAATATTTAGAACAAGGAGTAGGCACGAAATCTTTCATGTATTTTTTTGATTCAGAAATCAAAGTGAGATCCACTTGGACATTCTGGGTAAAGAGTGGACTAGCACAATTGCCCCACTTTGGCGATCAAAGAATCCCCAATCTTTGCCCCCTTTCAGCTACAGTATTACTTTGGTGAGGTATATGCTCAAAAGGGTGGATCCAAGAACTAGAAGGAAAGTACCAACAAACTCCAAGGGGGAATTTGGTACACGGAAAGATTTTACTTTCTTGAGAATCTGACATCGGGAATATTAGTTTTCCGCGTTTGATTTGTTATTTAAAAATAACATTTTTAGGAAACAGTATTTTCCAGGATGGTTTTTGCATAGGTTTCCCACATAATTATTTCCATGTAAAAGGTGAGAACCTAACTTTTTCAGGATAAAAATAAAGTTTCAATGCGATGAAAACATTATGTTACCTTTATTTGCTTATTTAATGCAATAAAAATAATTGATTTTCAAGTAACATTTATTAAATATTTCTAGAAATATTTATGATCAACCAACCAAATTTTCATGATTCCTAGGATTTATAGTTCCCATGAATCATAATTCCCAAGCATGAAAAAATTTGTCATATACCAAGCATTACCTAAAAGAAATATTATCAAGAGTTTAGACAAGACCTGAATTTCATAACGTAATATTTAAATCCAAAGGCATGCATAGTTCTTTTTTGCCATGTCTGTTATTTTTAATGGACTAGATTTATAATACCTTCAGTTCAGAGCACACAAAAATATCTTCTGAAGAAAGGTGTTTGAAGAACAATGTGATGCCACGACCAACAAAAGATACAAGGTCAGGGACAATGCAGAAGAGCATAGAGGGATTTCAGAAATTTCACCAATGCATGCGTAAATCCAAAAATACTGGGAATTTCTAAATAGTTTCCATGAGAAAATGGATGGCCAATCAAAATACTGGGAATTTCTAAAGAAAATATTGAATATTGAAATTCAGTATCTTAATTAAGCATTTTAAATACTCTAAAAATCAGATTCCTACTTTAAATCATCTTATACAAAAACAGCCTAAGAACTTGGGTCCAGGTGAAAGGAAAACAAGTGTAGGTGTTCACCTGTACTAAGAGAGCCACATGTCTTTCAAACAAAAAGCGATATGAAGAGTTATAGACACAGTAGCTATTTAGATTTCTTCAAATCCCCATTCATGTAATGTTAATAACCTACCATAGAAGACAAATCATGATAATGATGATGCTCAAGAATACAGTAATCATGATCATCATCAATTACAATACTATTATCAGAAATTTAGGATATTCTGTTCATGGTACAAATCATAGATCTAACCGGGATTGGAAGAATGGGTAACTGCAGTATACAAGTAGCAGCTATGTATGACCCCCAAATTACTGATTCAAAGGCTAGCTCGAGGAAGGGCTGGAGAATTATTGTGATATTGTCCATGTCTTCAAATGTGTATTCTGGTCATGTTCTTAATCAATGTGGAACAACTTAACACACCTCTCATGCCTAGAACTGGACATTTGGAACACATAAGTTTGCAAGACTGAATATTTGTTATGACCCAAGATTAAGACTAAATTGGCTCTAATACCATATCAGAAACAAACCAAGCCTAACTCACTCCCAAAAGCTAGCTCAAGGGTGGAGGATTGCTCCAGTCTTATAAAGAGTATTTTGGCTATACCTAGTCAATGTGAGACATCTTAAAAATATTTATAAAGAAAAAAGATTGGCACATTATGACAAATCCATACACACTCCCCTCGTGCTCTGGTGCTCCAGGTTGGCAGTAAGTTATCTCTCTCCCCTAAAAGTGATTGGTTGGACTGCACCGTTTCCCTATCATCACATATACCTTATTGATCTTGGCCTTTGAGCCACATCAGAAAACCATTCTTCATAAAAATACTATCTCACTCTTCTGATGACTAATAAGAAGCAAAATTTTCTATATCACAAGAGGAAAATAAATAATACGTGAATATTTCACTTCTGACTTGAGCTTCTTGATTTCATTCAACGTATGTAAAAGTGATGTCTGACACCATTTTCAACCAATGCCATAGCAGGTGGACTTCAGAAGTAAGATATGCAATATATATTTTTTCTTGGGATAAAACAGAGAAAAATATATCAAAGAATAGAACACACAATCTATCGCTACTCTTGAAAAATATAGACCATAGAAAAAATAGAACTTACGGGTTGTTCCAATCAGTAGTGTCCTCATTGACAAGATGGGTCCACTTAGTTCTTCCACTACGACCAAAGTGCTTGACTTGCATAACCTTTGGTAATATTGTCTTGTCCATTTTATCCTCCCCAGTTGGGGCAGAGAAATCACGTGTAAAAATCCCATCAGATCCAACAGTGGCAGCTTGATCATCAGATTCAGACTGGAAGAAAGCACCTTTGTGATAGTATTTCTGCATAAACCTCCATTTCTGCTTTGGTGGTGGAGCAGGTTTTGGATTCTTCCTTTCCCACTCTCTCCTCTCTTCCTCAGTCATGTTTCTCACCCTCTCAATCTCTTCTTTTTCCTTCAACATTGCCTCACGATCCTCCCTATCCCTCTTGATCCTACCAATCTCTCTCACTTTCCAAGCTTCATATTCCTCTGCCTCATTGATTTCATCATCAGTATCCACATCAGCGATGTTGGCCTCCATTTCCATGTTTTTCTGGATCTCTTCATCCTTCCGGATCTCCTCAACAACAATCTGCTTTGTCTCAATCCTCCTTTCCTCCAATCTTCTTTTCCTTGCTTCCTCAAGGGCTTGCTCCTCAGCTTCAAGACGCTCACGCTCAGCAATAGTATCTCGCTCAGACTTGGGAACAAACACAGGCTTCACCATAGCCACTCCCGTATATTCCTCATCTGAGTCAGTCTCATACTCAGATTCCTCCTCCTCCTCTTCTTCTTCCTCTTCATCCTCCTCTTCTTGAGGAAGCGCCTCTTCCTGCTCTCTTTGAAGCAACTTCTCTTTAATCAGCCTCCTTCTTTCCGCCAAAGCATTCTCATCTTGTTCTTCCAACTCCAACCCTTCCTGCATCCTGGCCTCCTCCTCAATGGTGGAGACAATCTCAGCCTGCCGAATGCGGCGATGATCAGCCCGGACCTCCTCACGGTTATCAATCCGGCTCTCAGCCAAACGCCGGAGCCTACGGTCATCTTTTCTAACAATAGCAGCATCTTCTTCGTGACGAGGAAAGGCTTTCTCCAAGGCAGCTTCCCTGGAGGGTCTAATATCAACGGGGGCAGCGTCTTCTATCTCATCATCAGCCCACTCAGGAACTTTACCAGGCCAATAACGCTTAACTTTCGTTTGCCCAATTTTACCTCTGAGCTTATCCCTAATTGCTATTACAGTATCACTAACACCTGCCGTCACTGACATTGTTCCTCCTCAATTGAACACCACTGGGAAAAAACAAAAACTAGCTTCAATTCCCTTCTCCACCAAACCCTATTTTGCAAAGATGCATAGTTGTTAGGAAAAACATTTATACAGCGACAGACAATTTCAGATGAAATTATAAGTAAAATTGCAAGAAAATGAATGAAGAAATGCATGGTGAATGATAAATTTTGATATGCGAAAGATTTGAATGCGTAACAAACTAACAATAAGGGTTTGGGTTCAAAACAGAAACTTGAATTGATAGAAAATAGAAGGCATAGGGAAAAAGGACTTATGGTTATAGAAAACAGAAAGCACTTTTGAAAGGGTTGCAAGAGCTCATCATGTTTGCCCTTGCTGTGAGCGCTCCTTATCTTCAGAAGAAGACAATTTTGTCAAGAAGGTTGGTACATTTCACAACCTATTATAACATACTGATATTAATATTATACTATACATTGGCTTTCAGCAAGCACTTTATATTTTTTATTCATTTTGAATTGCCTTTTCTTTTTTCTTTTTTCTCTTTTAATTACAGCAAAGAGTGAAGGCTGCTAGTTCAGCTGAACATATGAAAGTTCTCACTGTGGAGTCCTCAAATGCAGAGCCTCATATCAGCAGCTGGACAAGCTTCGTTTGGTTTACGAAGATTATGTTAAACTTGGCAAGGAGACAATTCCAAATGCCAAAAAGGAAATTCAGCAACTTAAAGAAGAGATGGATGACAAATCTCTGGCTCTTGATGATGTAAGTATCATAATTTCTTTTTAACATTTCCTGGAAATTTCTTTTAAGTAGGCATTTGAATCCCTACGTACTCATCAATTCCTATCTTAAATTTTTGTTTTGTGGATGATGATTATTATTTTATATCAATTGCTTAATATTATCTGTTTCTGCCTCTTTTTTTTAGTCTCTTGGTGTTAACTTGTTTTGGATTATACAACTCCAGCAATTTTCAGGCTTTAGGTGTTTTAGCACAAATAAAGACTGACAAGGATTTGATTGAGACATTGGAGCAACCTGTTGAAAATGCTGACCGGCTTTTCCTTGAAATTCAACATTTGCAAAAGGAAGTTGAGGAATTAGAATATAAGCTTGATTTTCAAGGACAGGGAGTGAGCACTATGGATGAGATTCAATTGGAGCTTAACACATTGCAGAGAACAAAGTAAATAACTCTGGTTAATTTTTACTATTTACGAATGTGGACAATTTTACAATCTAGATCATTATGATAATTGAATCTCATCTCAGCATCATCTCCTATTCCCTGAGTGCACTTATTTACTATGAGATTTTGTTTTATTTTTCTTATTTGTATCATTATTTCCTCGCATATCTTGGTTACAAGGTACAATTTGCAATCTGAATTGGAGAGGTTGAGGGATGAAGAGAGGCATATGGAAAATGATCTATCAAATATTTGATTACGGTGGCACAGTCTAAGGGAGTAGAAAGTGAAAGCAACTGCCATATTGGAAATGTTAAAAGATTAGAAGAAGAATTGGTACGGTTAACTGAAGAAAAGACCCAAGTTGATCTTGATAAGAAGGTGTCTAATCATCTCATACATTGATGGATACTTAATTTTAAGTTATAAGCATATGTAATGGCCTTCTTATCCCTTTCCATGTATATATAAGCACCTCATACACACATTTTTCAAAAGAAAATTTAATAAAATGATTAACGCTCTCAACACACATGCTATTATCAGTTATTGTATATATTATAAAGATATTAAACAGCTCCCGCCCCGCCCCCCCTAAATGAATTGCCTCTTTTTCAAAGTTCTCAAGCTTGCTGATTGATACATACACTTGTTTTAAGTTCATTTCAGATTCTATTGCAGCATTTGGCAGAAGCTCTCAACACAATGGGTACATAATTGTCATTAAAAGACCAATAGTTAAAATTTTGACAATCATATATATGTTTCTATACACGTGATTTTATCATAATATCCATTATTAGTTTTCTAGTCACTCCCACTCCATTGCGGGAAATTTAAAAGCTTACTCTCCTGACAACAACCAGAAATTTATTTACCATATATTCACCTTTTTTTCAGCGTGACTTACTTGATGAAAGAAAAAGAGGGTTGGTTTCAAAATAAGAAAAGAAAATAGCCAAGGTGGGAGAAAATATAGATAGAGACAAGTTTCACATAACAAAATCAAGTTAAGATTTAAAAACTGAGAGAACAAATTTCACATATACTACGCAAAGCAATTTAAAGGTATTATTATTGTGATTCTTTCTCCTTTTGTCAAACTTCTATTGATGGAATATCACTATGAGCTTAATTAAAACATGTAAAAGGAGATGTGTATAATTTGATCAATCCAAAACTGAGGAACATGATCGACCCTGAAAAGTGATAATGGGCAAATGAGATATTATTTGTTTTTCCATTAGTTGATTATTTGATTTAGAAGAATAACCCCTTCAGTAATTAAAATTTATCCTATCTATGCACAAAATAGCCACAATAACATGTTATACACCACAATTGGGTCTTCACACAGGAAAACTCAGATTATCTCAATTCCTAAATTCTAAAAAAATCTAGGAAGAACATCCAACCTGGCTTACGCGAAGAAATCGTCTTTCCAGCTTGCAACGAACCCAAAGCACCCCACCGTACTTCCACCATGCAGCGAAGAAATCAGATTACCGAAAACGTGGTCGTAGAAAGAGAAAGGGTTTCCTTGAACAACGAGAGAGCGTGGAGTAGCGTTTGGCGTGGTTGAGTACCTCGCTCGTGGCGGCAGCGTCTCCGCCGTCAAACATGCTCTCTCCGACAACAGCTTTGCTCCGACAATAACTTCTCTCAACGGAGGCAGGGTCTTCTTCGCTCGTGGCCTTCTCGTATTACTAAATGAACAGAGAGAGTTGTGAGAGAATAGTATATTTAGGAATTCTTGGTTCATTTGGGGTTTTATTCATTTTATTTTTAGTAAGTAGGAAGATAAAGTTTAGACTTAATTAAATTTAAAAAATAAATTAATAACTAATAGTAATTAAATTTATAATAATAAATTTGTGGAATATCAATCATGTTTACTTCTATAAATCTATAGATCTTCTAAGGAGTGGAGATGAACTTCACGAGGATATTAAATTATTGTTTATGGTTTCGTCAAATATTTGAGACTAATTCTCAATCATTCAAGGGCATGTTTGTGCTTTTAATTTTGTTGAGATCAGTCATGTTCCCTTTTATCTCCTTGGAAATCCTTTTTTCCTTTCCTTGATCCTCTCCGAAATGGTTCATAAATTCAACAAGTTCCTCCATCTACATATACTTAGTAGCACTTTTGTGAAGCTCTTCCATGGATAAAGTTGATTTTTTATATAAACTATAAAAAAAAAATGACCTAGCTTGAGGGTCGACAACATTTTGTGTAAAACAACCTCTTCGGGTAAGTTGAGAGTTTCAAAAGCAACCTTCCCAAACTTATCCATGAAGGCCTTAAGAGACTCATCATTCCTCTATTTGACACTAATAAGTGTCATTGAGGTCATAATATGTGTTGGCTAGTGCTAGACTGCATAGTGAACTGAAAGACAAGTACCCAAAAAGAATTCACCAACTGAGAGGGTAAATGACTAAACTACCTCAAAGTTACACCCTTAAAAGAGGTAGAAAATAAACGGCACATAATTGCATCTATATTAGTGAACATGCTAACTTGAGAAACATATAGGTTGACATGATCATTAGGGTTAGAGGTCCCATCATATATATCAAGCCCTAAATTTTTCCATCCTTTTAGAAAAAGAGCCTCCATGATTTCATTTGTGAATGGGTGTTTCCTAAATTCCTCATATATTGTTGTGAAGTGGGGTACCGATGTTCCAGCTTGTCACGAGATGTGTGTTGAGGTACCGATAGGCCATGATGCATTAGAGGAACGAATTGTCCTAAAATGTACTGCGTGAGTTGACGATGTTCTAAAAGGAAATGTAGAATCTTCTAAGAAACACACAAACATCCACTAATTAATCCATAAGGTCATCTATCCTTGTATTAACATACACGCATATCAAATCATATTAGAATATCTACTTTAAACATTTATATATACCATCCCCAAGCATGTATGAATCAATCACCATTTACTCCACACAACATGTACATGAAACAACTTTACCACATAACATCATACAACCTTTAATAACCTCTCAATCTACATGAAAACACCTCAGAACATCATAACAAAATCAATTTTTATCCTTGCATTGTCTAACAGTTCAAAAACATTATGACAGCATACATCTCTCTTCAACAACTATGAAAGAAAATGATACACACAGAGTTATACTCATCCAAATAATCTCAATCCTATCTAAGGAAATCTAAGAGAATAAGCTACAACTCTTATAAATACATGAGATTCTAAAAAGATCATTTTCTTAGCTAAAAATTTAAAAACCACAATAGATATATTCAACGCTTACAACTAGACCTCTTATCACCAAAGTAGCTATAACTGGAGTTCTAGACCTCCGTTTTACCTGATTCTAATTCCAATGGAAAGATAACGTCCAAGGCTACAACTTTTGTGAAGACTACAAAATCTAATTCTGTCAATACGATACTCATATTGGCACAACAAATCTGCAGCAAAAACTAATTATGCTTGACAACAATAGTGTACTAACATCCCACAAAATACCTCTTCCAAACTCACTCCTTTCCACCTTAAACTCATATCCAAACTTCCCACTACAATCGTAAACTCAGTTAACTCATATATTCAACACAAAAGACTTATAAAATAAAACGCACATTCTACCTAAACCATAAAAGGTTAACATTCAAGCACCAACTCTCAAGGAAATTACCAACATTTCAATCTCTCATCAAGAATACCAAAACTTCAATTCTCAACATACAACCTCCTTGGATTCAATCGCTATAACTATAGATTTCAGAAACTCCATCAACCTTAAACTCTCAATACACTCGACAATTCAATGTCTCACCCACACCCAAAGTTCTAATAGTTTCTAGTTTATTAGGACGATACTTCGTCCACTACTACTTGCACCTATGCTCGCAACACGAACGATACCACCCAATCGCTACTTCTTACATAAGCAAGAAGTATTAAAACAAATAAGCAATCATGAGAATGAAGAAAAATAATCATAAATAACATCATCTAAGCTATATCATGTTTATCATCCAAATTCTGAGAAAATTGTACACACAATTAAATAAAGAACAAACATAATCAATCAGCACACTAGCACATCAATAAATTTCACAATCAATTCATTCCATCATTCATCTACTAAACAAGCATAGTAGACTCATAACTCACGGCCGATTGGATCGACCTACTCTGATACCACTAAATGTGACACCCTTACTACCCCAACACATATCTTATAATAATGTAAATAAAACTAACGAATAAATTTTTCAATGTTGGTAAAAAGGGTTCACATAAAATCTTCATAACTATTCATCAATAATCAAAATAATTGAAAATAAAACCTAAGAGTTTAAAAATTGTTTTCAAAATAATAAATACAACTCCAAATCCATATAAAAATCCATGTCCTAAAATCCTTTGCCCCGATGTCACAATATTAAAGCATACCCACAATTCAACTGTTGACATTCTAGATGTCACTCATAGCCGAATCTTCCTCACCTAAAACATCCACAATTTGTACAATGAGAAAAGAAAACATCTATATGTAAAGCACACAAGGAAAATCCATAACATAATTTCATCATAACTAATTACTTAATAAAATATTCACAAGCATTTCTATATATCATAATTTTATCAATCATGCATCATCTTCACATCACAATTCACAATCACACCAATCCATCACAAATCTTGCAATTAACACTATGCCAAGGTCACGCCACCCCTGTAGCATCTCTTGCCCAAGGTCGTGCCATCCTGACATAAGTGCTACGTGTTAATTGCCTCACACATCCCACAATATGCTAATGTCACGCCATCCCTATAGCATCACTTACCCAAGGGTCGTGGCATCCCTGGTCATAAGTGTGAGGAACCACAATCACATCACATTCACATTCAATACAACATCTCATTTCATGTCAACATACTCACATCATAATTAATTGAACAATAATATACCATTTGCCACATCATGTTATCAATTTAATACTAAAATGGTAGATATAATGTATACATTTGTGCCAAGACATCACACCGCATTCCATAACTCAATTCCATATCACATACACAAAATAAATAAGTCCACACAAAATAGTGGTTCACATACCTCTCAAGCAATTCACCATGAATCCACATCTAGATCATCAATTTTTACCATATAATATAACAGTAACATTTATAAATTAACATAACACTCAATTGAATCACCAATTTAATAATAATCTTAACTCAATTATTAAAACTCCCAATTTTTCTAAAACCTAACTCACATACACTTTTCTACAATTTCTTTCTCTCTCCCAGATCACCATTCTTACAAATTAAATACATATTTCTAATCCTCAACACATATAGAATCTAATGGGATCATCAATTCCTCAAACATAAATAATTATAAAATTACCCATAATCCTACAAAATTCCTCATCTACCCAATTCCCTCCTATAACTTTGCATACAAATAATTTCCTTTTTCCTCGTACCTCGATAAGCAGTAGCTGAAACTAAAACAGGATCTGAGTGGTCTCCTCCTTTGGGTTCCCCTCGGTCTTCAGAGAGTGCAGAAGGAAAAAAAGTCAGAAGTGAAAAGTGTACTTTTGGGAGTGCCAGAGTGTGCTATTTATAGGCATCAAGAGTAGCCAGAACGACCCGTTTCAAATCTGGAACGACCCGTCCTGGACTCATTCATTATGTGTAAAATTCACATCTAGAATAACCTATTCTTAAACTAGAACGACCCATTCTGGGGTTGCATTTTAACCCATAACGACCATGTTTGGAATGGCCCGTTCCCAACCTAGAACGGCCCATTCCCAACTAGGGTTTATAAGCCTTTTTAGTAGTTTGTAACGGTCCGTTCCAATTTGGAAACGACCCGTTCTAGGCTACTAAATCACCCTTATTTTAGTAGTTTGGAATGGCTCGTTCCAATTTGGGAACGACCCGTTCTAGGTTACTAAATCACCCTGAAAATTATTAAATTACCCTTCATAAAAGTATGAAAACTGAGGTGTTACAAGTTCAGTGTTTTGTTGTCTAAGAAGAGCCATTTCTTCTTCATAGTGCTTCTATTGCAGCTTACTTTGTGTCTTCCATTGTTGTATCTTTCGCTGCAGCTTGGTAAGCACCTGAGAATTGTCAAGCACTCCATAAGGCCTAGTTAGTGAAGCTCTTGTTCTCGCCATTGTCTTAGTGATGTAGAGTCCGTAGGAAAAGTTTTATTATGGGCCCCATGGTGGGTGCCAAATTTTCTTGTTAAAAAACAGGTATAAGAAATCTTCAACTAGTGATCCTTAGTTCCCGACTTCTCGATCCTCAACCTAGCGATCCTTGATCTTTGAAGATCAAGTGGTTTATACCTGCAACAGGGACTCTAATGCCAAAGCTAGCACGTACTTAGAGCTATAAAGTATATATTATTTTTTATGTATCTCATGAAGGTTTGATGCAAGCATATTTATAAATAAAGAAAAGTTACCATTGATGTTTTGCTTATTAAGTGTACTCAAGAACCTTTATTGCTTTGTAATGAACGAGCATTACTTTATGACACATTTATCAAGGTTGAATTATACTCAGTTACACACAAGTCATAATGTTGGTTCCCAGGTACATGTGGAGTTTATAAGCGATTAGCACTCAAGGGTCAATATATGCTATCAGCCTTGAGACATCTCTAGTATGGAAACAACATTATTAGCTTACCTAACTTTAACTTTGTGTTATTGCTTTGATACTTGAAAGACTTGACTTTAAAAGAATACTTGATTATTAGAGCATGGAGAGGCTTTATTGTAAAATAATACTTGGTTATTTGAGCCTAAAGAAGGTTGACTATAAAAGAAAAATTGGTTGTTTAAACCTGGAGAGGCTTGACTTTAGAAGAATACTTGTTGTTAGAGCCTTGAGAGACTTAACTATAAAAAATGTTTGATTTTTGAGCCTAGAGAGACTTGATTGTAAAAGAATACTTGTTGTTTAAGCCTGAAGAGACTTTCTATCAAAAAAAATACTTGGTTAGTTACTTGAAAAGGTAAGTCAAAGAACATTTAGGTTGAGTCAGAAGTGGTTTGTCAAAGAATACTTGTATCTTTGTAAAAGTTAGTGAAACTTGATTGACTTAATCAAGAACTGGATGTAGTCTCGGTGGTTGAGACAAACTATTATTAAAACATTGTTCTTCTTACTTTGCTCTTCATCTACTCTCTTACGGTCTTGTTACCGCTTCATTGTTTCGAAAAAAATGTTGAGTTTTTTGTTAGAAACTATTCAATCCCCCTTCTAGTATCTCTCTTTTCTCCACAAAATTGATTATAAATAAGGATGAAAAGAAAAATAAATGTGTATATGTAGGCATTGGAATAATTATTAGTTAAGTTAGTCCAACATGAAAAAATAAATTAGTACACTAAAGAACTTAAATAATTATTAATGATTAATTTTGATGACATATACATAAATACATTTTGTCATATATTTTCAACTTGTTAAGTTTATTGAAGATTGCTAAGTTAATTACTAAGTCAATTACTGAAGCCACTTATGAAGACTGAAAAAGTTTTAGTTTTAATGATGATAACGTTAAATTTGTATAGATTTATTTAGTTTGCTTCATTCATTTTTGTATTTTATGGCCTATATTGAAAAGGATAATGTATTGCTTGTTATTAGACTTACGCTTGGATGTGTTTGATTATTGTGATGAATTAATTTCAAAATTACATCTTGTTTTAGAAAACATAAAACTCATATTTCAACTTAATGTTTCTTATTTCATGTGAAAACATAATGTAAGAGATTATAATGTGTTTTGACATAAAATGGAACTTGATTCATTCAAAAGAATTCATGATTAAGTTAGGTAATAGATTACCATGTGAGGTAATAAATTATTGAACCTTAGTTTTGAAGTGGAATTCAACACCCTCTCTATGATAATCAATTACCAAATGAAGTAGTTGATTACCATGGTGACTTTTGAGTGAAAACAAGTGAAACAAGTTGAAAAAGTATCGAGATAATGGATTACCAACGTTAGTAATCGATTACCTCTATTGAAAAATGAGTTCTATGATTTCTGGGACTCGAGATAATCAATTACCAGGAAAAGTAATCGATTACCTCTATTCTTGTTTCTTAGATTTCAGTTCTAATTAAAAATTGGTAATAGATTACCTGATATTGGTAATAGATTACTGTTGTTACGAGTTTTTAATGTTCAAATCTTATTTTCTCTATAAATATAACTCTTTTTGAAAGTTATCTTGAAATAAGTTCAAGAAATTCAACATTACTAAATAATTCATTGTGAAAGATCAATCTACACTACATGTGTATCTTTTCTGATCTTGTAACTCTTGTTTGTGTAGTTGGGTATGCTATGGTATGTGACTCTTCGAGATAAGGGTATCTCATGAAAGAATGAAAGAGAAATCTTGATGAGATAGGTTTTCTCAAATGGATTCCTACGGTGCAAGAATTATGGAAATTGTATAATCTTGTGGGATCAAGATTAGGTGATTGTGTTTTTTGATTATAATATTGCTTGTACATGGGGTTTGTAAAGAATATTATAGTAGAAAGACTAGATTTAGCGGGGAGCTAAGTTTGAAACTGGATGTAGGCCTTTGTATAGTTGAACCAGTATAGATCACTTTGTATTTTCTCTCTTTACCTTCATATCTTGTTATAATTCACATTGAATTGATAAAAAGAATCTCAAGATTGTAAAAGAAACGTTTTCTTGAATATTATAGATGGCTAATTTGGGAAATCTGATATGATATATGCAATTTGGTAATAAAGTGAAGGAAGGTAATTACTAAAATCAATTTGGATAACAACATCTATTCCGCTGTGTAATAATTCTGATATACTTTGTATCTTGTTTGGTTTGTAATCTGAATGTGTTTAGTAATAAGTTGTATGAGAAAGAAATAAATTAGCAAGAAAGCAAGAGAGACCATTAGAAACCGTCTAAGTGAAGAATTTATTCAACTCCCCTTCTAAATTTGTGTTCTACTCGGGACCAACACAACTAACATATGTTGGTGTAGTGGTAAGTTTTCTTTATATAATTCAAAGGAGACTAGGTTTTACTTCCAAATGGAGACACACCATGTAAGTTTTTAATTTATGTTAGTTTCTTCTAACCAATCAGATGAAGACACACCACATGGGATAATAGCTTAAGAAAAAGACAACTAATATATAAAATAATGCTCTCCTTAGGGCTTAAAAAATATTTTCAAGGGAATTTTAAACATTTCTAACTAACAGATCATCTGTTGGAAACTTCAAAGTTTCTGACATAACACTATCCATTGGTAATTACATTTTACAGCTCAGCATAATATAAATTACCATAATATAAATTATTTATTATAATTTATATTTTTTTAAAAAAAATATTTATATATTCAAATATAATATTTATTTATATATAATTTATATCTTATTATATATATTAGTGATGTAATATATATAAGTATATATATATATATTATATAAAGGGGGATACGAGATAAATAATCATTTTATACCTCTATATCTTTAATATTATTTATTAATAAATACCATAATTTTAAAAACATTATTCAAACTGAAGAGGATGAATGAAAAGAGAAGGAATATTTCGGGATGGGAAAATAGTGCACTGGAAGCATCCAGTAATTAAAGAGCCCACCACCCATTGTTTGCCTCTTTGGGAGTGTAAAGAGCACTTTGATATATAAAGACTCTACACTTGAGTGGTTCAAGAAATGTGGGACTTTATGTGCAACAAAAATTCCATCAACCTTTTAATTCGGGAAATAAAAGTTGCATAGACAATCAGGAACTAAGGAAAAAGAAAATGAGAAAAAACATGTAACAATCCATCCTAGAAATGAACTCAGGGCTACAATAAATTGAAGAATTAAGAAGCTACATTTTACACCCTCTATTCTATAAATCAATTCTTCTACTAAGCCAGTATGTTAACTACAATTATCAACAACTGTAAACCGGAAATGAAAAACTTACAATTCATTACAAACTAATGCAACATTCAATTTAACCAATCTAGATGCACAATTAATAACATGTTTGGATTCACATCCTTGAATCACATCCAACACTAATTCCACGTTCAATAGGTAGAAATCTAAAGCTACTACTTGTAACTTTGCCTTTGACATGATTTTCATACTTGAGTTTGTTCTGATGAGATGAGATACCATGACAGACACTAAATTGTTCTAAGTTTGAGGTGTTTCCAAACGGATGGAGTCATACATAACTCCTAAGAAAGGACTTAGACCTTTTGCTTGCCTCAAATAGATGGTGTTGGTTCCTACCACCAATAAGTAGCTAGGTACTTGAATGTTGTAAGGCAGGTACAATCCATGAATGCCATGTCTTGCTATGGCATTATCCCTGCCTATTAATCCCATAGAAAAGTGTGGAGAACGAGCCAAAGGGTTATTGAACCGAACCTAAACATATTACATAGTGTTAGTGAAATAATCATGCTCATACAAAGCTCTACAACATAAATTAAGATTCTTGCATTTACCTCCAAGTTAGATCTTGTAGCTGAGGCCAAGGCAAGTCGTAGTGTGTTTCTACCTCTTATAAAAAATGGCAAATGGAATTTAATCTCCCATGTTGTTGGGCGATATGTGTTGTGATGTGGACATAAAAGCCCAAACTCAAGAGGCCCATGATTAGAAGGCCCAAGTCCACGATGAAGAGGATAAAGATCAAGATCCAATTCAAATCTTAGGTGGGCCTATGACTAGAGGGATGCTTAAAAAAAACCCAAGAGGCATTGCATCACAAAGTGGCCCATTTGCTAGAGACCCAACAATCGACTCAACACATGGAGGAGGCTAGACTTATTACATGCATAGCTTGCTTGGAGAGCTAGGAGGACAACTGAATTCTTGATAAGATCAGTTGATGCAAGGAAGAACCCTAGCAGAGCTAAAAATCACAAAAAAATGTAATCTGAATAATCTGTCCATTTTCTCAATTTCCAAAATGTTTAATACAACTTTAGTTTGAGTTTGCCTCATTTGGAAGTAAATAAAGAAAAATTAAAATACTAATATCCCAACAGAAGCTAATATGCCCAAGTGGTTTGATGAAGGCATTATAAGCTTAAAGTCTTGGGATCAAATCCTGAAATGTAGCAGTTTATTATTTTTATTTTTAATACTGCCTTTTGCAAAACAAAACTAACACAGCTTTAAAACTTAAGACATAAAAAAGATAATAATAATAAAATAAAAACTAAATCTTCGAGTTGGCCTCCTAGCTCTCCAAGCAAGCTATGCATGTAATAAGTCTAGCCTCCTCCATGTGTTGAGTCGATTGTTGGGTCTCTAGCAAATGGACCACTTTGTGCTGCAATGCCTCTTGGGTTTTTTTAAGCATCCCTCTAGTTATAGGCCTACCTAAGATTTGAATTGGATCTTGATCTTTATCCTCTTCGTCGTGGACTTGGGCCTTCTGATCATGGGCCTCTTGAGTTTGGGCTTTTATGTCTACATCATTCTCTCCTTCTTGCGTAGCATTTGTCCTCAAAGCTATGAATTCATCTCCTGCATCAAAATGAGTCAAATCAGCAACATTAAAAGAAGAACTTACACCATACTCACCTGGTAGATCGATCTTGTAAGCATTATCATTGATCTTTTCTAGGACTTGGAAAAGTCCATCTCTTCTAGGTTGAAGTTTGGACTTCGTTTGTTCAAGGAACCTCTCTTTTCTCATATGTACCCAAACCCAATCACCAGGTTCAAAAATAACTTTCTTTCTGCCCTTGTTGGCTTGCTTGGCATAACTCTCAATTTTCTTTTCAGTTTGAGCTTTCACTTGCTCATGCAACTTCTTCACATAATCAGCCTTAGCCTGTGCATCTTTATGTTTAAATTCAGAAATGTTAGGCATATGTAACAAGTCAAGTGGTGTTAGAGGATTAAATCCATACACAATTTCAAATGGTGAACATTTAATTATGCTATGGACAACCCTATTATATGCAAACTCTACATGAGGCAAATGTTCTTCCCAAAATTTAATATTTTTCTTTAAAACAATCCTAAGCAAAGTGCCTAAAGTTCTATTTGTAACACCCCATTTTTCTATTTCAATATTATTTTTTTATGTACAAAAATATTTTTTAAAAATAAAATAAAATAAATAAAAGTCATTATCTTTTGATAAAATAAAATATTCAAAAACTAATAACGTTAATTCTATCTTTACGTTATTATGAGATCTTCACCCGGTTCGGCATCCCATACGCAATCATCTCCGACAATGGGCTTCAATTTACAGATAAGAAATTCAAAAGCTTCCTCGAAAACCTCGGCATCTGGCACCGATTCACGTCTGTCGAACACCGACAATCCAATGGTCAGGCCGAAGCAGCTAACAAATTTTTCCTGACCGTTTGTAGTCAAGAATGACTGGGGGAATTTTTAGTAGGTTAATAATGTAGCATGACCTCGGGTAGTAATAATAAAATTATGTTTCTCCTTTTTGGTTTGAAGAAAAGAAAATATTTGTTGGTGATTTGGAAGGTGTACATGTGCTGGCAATGGCTTTTGCCTAGAAAAATGAATTTGAGTCTTACTTCCCAAGATTAAAGGTCCCCACAACAAAGGAATTTTTATATGAATCTTGTATTTTTTTTTTAAATTTATTCCAATATTTCATATCCCTAACTTCTCTATGATGATCATTGCCTTGTGATTAGATGGGGACATGTTTGTCTAGGATTTCCTAATAACATCATGCCTAGGGGCCAATTCCTAAAAGAGTTAAAAAGAGTGTTCTAGAGTCGAAGGAAGAAGGGTCAAGCTCTTATTGAGTTTTGGATTACTTTTAGTAATTTACTTTCTCTTCTTGTAAATATTTCTTGTAAATATTTTTTTTTTTATTTTGACCTTGTATTTTTGGGTCAAGTAGTGTAGGAATTTATTTTTTTGCAATTAATATTTTTTTAGGTGTAATTAGTATTTCATAGAGGTGTAACTAGAAAAAGAAATATGGATTTATTGGACTTGAATGACCCATGAGCACGTCCTTGGACACATGGTCCAACTAGATAACCATACACTTGCATGAGGCAAGTGGGTCGGGCGTCACTTTCAAAGAGAAGAAAAGGTGTCTCATAAGCCATTCAAATTACCAACATGTTACATGGCTTTGTTTAACCACACTTTTGGCACCTTGCCAAGTGGCAAGCCCTCATTGGCTTTTTTAGATCTAGGATATTAACATGAGGCACACTTTTCTTGCCTTACCATGCGGAAAACTTCGATTGACTCTTCTAGATCTAGGATAGTAACATTTTTAGGAGGGAAATTTGAATTTCAAAATGTAACTGAAGTTAGTTGTCTTGAGTACAAGTTAACCTAACCTTAGTTACACTTAACCATGGTTAGTCTAACTTGCAATACAAGAAAAAAAAACATTAAGTGTAACTTCTCTCTTTAGTAAGTCAAAAGACAATCCCCTAAATTCAAAGTTTTAGTTCTGACTATAACATCCTGGTTTTTCATATTTATATAAATAATATTTTTGAAATAATTTTGATATTTAATATAGTTATTTTAGTGTTTTGATATTATTTAATTAATTATATGAGCTCTATTTTATTTATGAGACATGATTTATAATGTTTATTTTGATTAGTGATAAATAGTTAACTTTGATGAAATGTGTTTTATTCATAATACGTAGTATTTTATTTTAATGTTTTTATGTGTTTATTAGAAGGATTTTTAATATTGTTTAGCTATTTTCTATGAACTTTATTTTTTAAATAAAATATATGTTGCTTTTACTAAAATAGAGAAGTATATTTTATATTATTTATCTATTTTATATAAGCTCTATTTTAATATAAAGCATATTTTTAATTAATATTTGATTATTTGATATGCGATGAGTTTTTATGAAATGTATTTTATTAAAGTTAAACATATGTTATTTAATTAAAAAGGAGGAACGTGTATTTGATAATTTTAATTATTTTTTTTTTAAAAGAAGGGAGGATGTAGTGATAATTTTTTTGTTGTTGTTGTTGTTGTTGTTATTATTATTATTATTATTATTATTATTATTTTAAGAGGGAGTTGTCCGGAGTTACATTTCACGTTCTCATTTTTTGTTGATTTCTTTACTACGCGCTCTGAAAACTCAAGAGAACGAGGAGGAGGAGATCACCAGGGAACTGAACCGTATGTGCTTCATCTTCTACTCATCCAAGTAAGGGGGAGTGATAAACCTCACTCGGGATGTTGATATAATTGTTGGGTAGTCGAATTGGTCCTCAATCCCTTACTTGATGTATGCGTATAGGAATAGACACTTTTTAAAAGTTTTCTGTTTTACTTTCTGATTGTTTTATTTCATTCATTGTGTGATTCTAAGTGTGAATATGTGTTCAATTTTAAGAATAGATAAGTTTTGATATGGATTAGAGTGTTCTATGAGTTCTTGCGGGAAACCCGTGAGAAACAGACAAAATTTGAATGTTTTCTGTTTTGGCTTGTAAGTTTCTGTTGTGTTCTCTGATGAATACTGAACATGAATGTATGTTTAATTTTGAGTTTGGATATGTTTTAGTATGGATTAGAGTGCTCTATGGGTTCTTGCAGCGAACCCTATGAGAAACATGAAAATTTTGAATGTTTTTTGTTTTGGCTTCTGAGTTTTTTGTTGTGTCCTCTGATGATTAATGAACATGAATGTATGTTTAGTTTTGAGTTTGGATATATTTTGATATGGATTAGAGTACTCTATGGGTTCCTACGGGAAACTCTATGAGAAATAGGTAAAATATGAATGTTTTTCTGTTTTGATGTTTGAGTTTTTTGTTGTGTTCCTTGATGTTTGCTAAGTGTGAATATGTGTTTAATTTCAAAAATAGATAAGTTTTGATATGAATTAGTGTGCTCTGTGGGTTCCTATGGGAAACCTGCAAGGAACCAATAATTTCGAAAATAGATAAGTTTTAAGCTATGTTTGAAGGTGTTAATGGTGTGTGAATTGTCTTATTATGGTGTTGATGCAAGTGGTGTATTTTTATGAGCATGATGAGGAAAAGAATCTCCAAATGATGATTTTATGAGTATGACTATGAGAAATGTCAAATGTGAACAAGTGACATGAGACATGATGTGATATGATAAGTGAAATATTGAGTCCATGAGTTTGTGAATGTGTGACATGCATCATATGTATTTATGTGACGGGGTACGATATGGAGTATAACATTAGGAAAGGCCCTCCAAGTGTAAAACATCTTGGAGGAGTCCTAGGGGATAACGTGGTTTGGAAGGCCTAATTCTGCCCATTTGTGTGCATGGAACGTATCTTGCGCAATTTTGCTATCCCGATGAGACCCTAGCAGTATGCTCTTCTAGTTGAGAGTGCGCAGTTGAGTTAGCATGTACTCCTAGACTACTCCAGGTATGTTGCTCCAACAACATACCACGTGATATGTTATGAGATATGTGACTGGCACCACATGCATGCATTTATGAGTCGAGTCCATGACATCATTGCATGATAAATGAATGTGTATGTGATATTAATTGTGTATGTGTATTGTTTATATGTGATTTGTGCTTGTGACTTGTATTATGTTTGTTGTGTGTGTTGTCTAACATTTATTTATGCACTTGAACTTGA